CATAGAGTATAAACGAAAGTCTTAGTATCTCATGGAAATGAAGACACTAATGTAATTTTATTTATAAATATTTAATTTCTTATTTGCAAACTGCAGACTAATAAATATTGGTCACTTAGCTTTAGAAATGAGTAGTTGCAACTATTATTATTGTGAATATTAAAATATTATCATTACACTTACTTTGAATGGGTTAAAAATTTGATACTCACCTATTATCATACCTTCTGGCTCCAAATTACCATATTATACTTACCTTTTTCAAAATTCGTTGGACTAATCGTGATCAAGATCTCAGATTTTTTAAGTTTCATCTGGACGATCATGTTTATAATCAAATATACAACTTTATGATTTATAATCAACAAAAACTCAAAAAATGTATCAACGAAATCATAGAAAAAATAAGCTCACAAACAATTAGGGTCTCTGTTTTGTTAGGAACAAGGACTGCATTTTTTCATATCACAAAAGGAGAGTAACATAAGAAGTTTTTCCTAAGCTTAGTCATAAAAATATGATTCCACTTAGCTTGTTAAAAATGAGATCTCTAACATTTTAAACAGTTTCGGAGAGTATGTTATGTACTTTAAAAAAAATATAAGTGGAGTTATGCATTCTTTATTCTTAAAATGTAGTATGAGCCCACAATAAGCCCTTCCCGTACCCTGTAATTTTGCTCACTATTAATATAGAATCCCTTTAACGTACGCAAGGTGCCCACCATGTGCTTACCAAGTATCCTCCAAGTACTTGGAAGGTACTTTACTAGTATCTGCTAAATGCTTACTAGTTACTCACTGACTTGCTACTAGGAGCCTGACAAGTACTAACTTAAAACTTATTAAGTACCCATAAAGTGCTAGCTAAGTACATGCCAAATGCCCTCCAAGTACCTGTCAAATGTCTGTTAAGTGCCTATAAGGTTCTTTACAAGTACTTGCCCATGCCCACCAAGTATTATACCTACCAAGTACTCACTGGGTGTCTGTCAAAGTCACTCTTAAGTATTCCTTAAGTACTTGTAAACTGTCTTTCAAGTACTCATTAAGTGCCTGTTAAGTGGATGCCACATAGCGTTTGGCTCCTTCTACGTGCCTGTCAAGTACTTGCTAAGTGCTTGCCAAGTGCCTTTTATCCATGACTACGACTATGAATTAATTATTTATTTATTCAAGTTGTCGTAAGTGAGATTAACACTGACAAATGTATCTTATAGTAGTAAGTGCCAACGACTTTGCACTTTGCAATAACATTAGCATGCCACTTTTCGATAGCTGAAGCCTTATGGATCTACTTCTTACTAACAAATAACTCGTGGCTATATAGTTGTTCGTCTACACCAAATAATACTTCATGGCAATCCATACTACTCAAAAATTGTGTCAAAGAGTCTGAAATCAAATAATTCTAGAATGGACTATTCAAACATAAGTTTACAAAAAAAGTGTTCTTGACTGATTGGGATTGGCAATACCTTACTCTAATACGCTGTAAGGCTTGATACTGTAATGGCAAACAGAATACGTACTTATAAGTATCAGAAAGATGATCTTAGGTTGACATGTATGTAATAAATTCTTAAATGTACGAAGAAAAAGTTAATATTGTTAGAGTTCATATGTATAATATAATTGAATTTTTGAAATAGTTTTACGAATATACTGATTGATAGAAAGAAACTAAACTATATCTAAAACGCACTCTTAAATCTTCAAATAAAATTCATACGTTAATTGAGTCAAATTTTATAGTAGGTCGTTTAAAAAAATTTTAATTTTATAGACTACAAAAGGTACTTAGCAAAAATATATTTCTTTATACTTTTGTTTACGTGATTACTACTAAAAACAGCAGCTATCAGTGACAACTGCCTCATGTAAAGTGTAGATAGTAGTGAAAGAGTGTCTCGTATAAAAGTAATAGTGAGTATTATAAGGCTATCTTAAACCATTTTGACTGTTATGTATCTTCTTCAATATTTAAATTTTCCAGTTATTCTATTATCGTAAGTATTATTTCAATACACAATAAAACTGGCTATTTTATACCAGGAAAATTATATTGCAACAATTATAGCTACCCAATGGTAATGAAAACTTGCAATTTAAATAAGTTTAAATAAATCAATTCACAGAGTCAACATTTATTCCAGAGTCATCATACACAAAAAATTAAATTTACCATGTAAAAGTTGCATTACGTACTGTGAGACATGAAAAACAGATAAGTCAAAATGCATTATTTCATAAAATAAGGAACAGATTAAATTGGCTATCGAGGATTCGACGAGCTATTTAAGCAGGTAATAAAAGTGTGTTCTTAATAGCTGCATCCAACTTCTTGTTTTAATTGTATAACACATACGATAACAATTTTTTGATATTGTTTACATGAATGAATAAAATTGAGATTAAGGCATTATTTTTTAAAAGCAAATACATATTTAATAAAGATTAAAGTTAAATAGCATAAAGTATTATTTTATTAGGAACAGTTCAATTATTTACTTAACACTCAATTGTATAAGAGAGATAGTGTGTGCAGATTGCGCCAGGGACTGAGGCCCATTATTATAAAGACGTCGTAGTTTTATAAGAGAGGACCATAAGACTCTCCACAGTCTCCAAAATATCTTCCATTACTTTTTACAGCCACTCTTGTGATATAGAAAAAAAGGCTTTGGATATGTATGTTATATATTGCTCATACGATTTGGGTCAAACACTTCTATTAATTATAAAACGTCCTACAAACATTAACTTTCATCTATCAAACCTCCTACATTTTTCCTCAGTTAAAGTATCTTTTTAATAATAAAGTTAGCTTCTGTTAGATTGAAGTATGTTATATTTTATTTAAGCATTGCTCATAGAGCAACTCAAGAAAACTCCAAATTTACAATTATTAAAATTTGCAGATAATTTAGGAAACTAATAATTAAAAAATTATTTTAAACAGTTTCTGTATAAATTTTACAATGCTTAAGCCCAAAAGTAGTTTTTTGGACACAAACAGTTACAAAGCGGAGGGTTTTTCACGTTTTCTACTTCCATAATCTCTACCTTCGTTTTTTTGTTTTGTTATTACCGTCCTTTTCCCCAAGTATGCGAGTCTTTCTTGGAAAGCTCTCCTCAGGCAACTTGGTCATCCATCCTAGTAGTTACTATTTACAGGGCACAGCAGTTATCTCAAGCAGACCTCAGTTTATCTCCAGTTGAATGGAAGAATATTTTTCAACCATGTTACTCGCTGTACTGACCTTTCTACAACGAATAGTGACTTAGCCCATCAGCTGGGCAGGTATTGGCTTTACGTTAAAAATGAAGCCCTTGAAGGTCCAGATATCACCAGAAGAAATTTCTATTTGTTAGTAAACATTGGGTTAATTGTGGTTTGGCATGCTGTGTAATCGTTTCAACGAAAATGCCCAAGAAAAAATCTGGATAATTTTCGATGAAATTTGAACCCACGATTTCCCAAATTTCTTTGGATAGGAAGCTAGCATGCTAACCACTGAGCCATCAAAGCTCTTATGTATTGGTTTAGTATCATGTACAGGTAAGTTAAGCTCTACTAGTAGACACGTATATATAGCATAAAAAAATGTGATCCGTAGAAAAATTTCGAAATCCCATTACTTGTTAATTATTCAAAATAATATTAAAGTGATTGCATGTTAAGTTCTCATCATAACTATAAATATTGTTTCACATACCTTAAAAAAATAGGTTTTGTTGTTTTTATACGTAAATGCAGCATCGATATTTCCTGGTAAAGCCTTCCATGATGATTTTATAAGTCTTGGGTATCCTGTTTCTATTCCATTAGAAGTCAGCTTCCAGTAGTAATTACCTAATCAATTATTAAAACAAGAAAATCTTGTATTAAAAATTTTTAACAAAAAAAAAAAATATTTTAAGAAACACATTATCTAAAATAGCTCAATTAGTTTGTATTTTTTGCAGGTAATAGTTATAATTCATTTGTCTATAAAAAAAAAACTTACGCAAATTAACGGTAAGGTTATTGTTAATAAATTTATCATAGTTAATAAAAGATTAATACATACAGTTTAACATAAGTTACAAAGATTTTCAGATAAAACTTATTCATATGTACATTATGTTGCTGGTTCTCTGGTCAAACTAAGAGTGATTTGTGTAATTCTTNATTAAAAATTTTGGATAAAGGATGGTGTATCTGAAAACATATTATAAAAAATGGATTGTTTATAATAACATAAATCTGGGTACTAGACGGTACTGAAATTTGCTTATTTGATAGAAGAGAAAATTTATTATTATGTTTTTTTTTTCATTTGACGTGTATTTGTGCACGTTAATAATTTTTTTCTATGTGTAAAGTTTTTTTAGGCCTATCTGGCTTTTCTTTCGAGATATGACCGTTTTTCTTATTTTTATAGGTTGTGTTGTGAAAAAAAGGTTCTCCGAAAATTTTGTCAACATCCGTTAACACATGCCATACTCCATAAGATGTATTTTTTGACTTTTTCTTTCGAAGATACAATCAAAAAAGAAAATATATGATATTGTATTTGTGCATAGTCCAACCCCTCTATACTTCTGCGCCTTGATCATCCATTTGCTCTTTTGAAAAATCGTAAGAACTGTTATTTTGAGACAATTTCCCTTTTCTTCTAAGATACAGTTTTTTTTTCATATTTTCAAAGGTAACAATGTATTATTTAACATATAAAATACTTCATACATGTTTTTTAAAGTAAATGTATACATATAAAAGAATAAATACAAAAAAAACACGATTAATACTATGTATCTTTTAAGACTTTGAAGAGATTGTGCACTATGATATTTTTAATATACAGACAGTATGCAACATCAGAGTAAAGCTCTAACCCACCCAAATTTCCGGGCAAACCCGGATATCTAACTCTTGAATATGTATATTGTTTTTCTCGTTCTTTCTCTTTTCTCCATACCTTGTCCTCAGCTTAAGCAAGCACACTGTTTTAATCATAGCGTAGAAACATACATACCTATAATAGACGTGTATATATATACTAGTGGGTCTGACGCCCCCTGCGCGCTCTACGCACCAACCGCCCACTTACAGATTGAGGAGACAAAATAACGACATTACTCTTGTAATAACCAATGCAGGCTGAGAATGAGTTCACAACAGCAAAAAACGTGACTCACAAAGGAGTTGATAAAACAGGTGATAACGTAAATAATAATTTGCCAATAGAATTTCCAAATAATATCAGAGAAGGTCTTCCACTACACGAATTAAAATTAAAAATAAATGCTACAGTAATATTGATAAGAAATTTTAGTATATCAGACGATCTCTGCAATGGCACAATTTTTAAAATAACAAATGTATTTAGTTAATAAAAGATTAATACATACAGTTTAACATAAGTTACAAAGATTTTCAGATAAAACTTATTCATATGTACATTATGTTGCTGGTTCTCTGGTCAAACTAAGAGTGATTTGTGTAATTCTTTTATAATAATTTACCAAAGCTAAAGCTTAGTATGATTAAATTGAAATCAGTCTTATAGTAACGCATAATAATGTTGGTATATTCTGGTAACAAACATAAATATTTTTAATGAAATATTAATTGTTAATAAAAATTCTTACATTAGCAATTACAAAATTAAACCTAGAACACGTCACTTATTCTTAAAGTTGCATACGTCATAGCTATTATAAATGCAGAATTCACTTGTCATTCGTGATAGTATTGTTCCAAACATTTATTTCCGTAGAACGCATTCTTCAATAAGAGAGTATATTTTTGCAAAAACAAAAGATTAATTAAAATACAACAAGTCTTTTTTTAAAATTTGACTTACACTCTTCATGATATTAAATTTTTTATTAGTTTGAGAATAAAATTAAGATACAGGGAAGGTTTTGTCAATGTTATTGAAAACATTTCTATAGCTTACTTTTCAAGAAAATTTCAAGGAAAAATTAACATAATTAGATCTTGCTCCCGAAGTAGTCTTAATATTGCTTACGAAAATAAACACAAACCTAGTTTTATATCTTCAGTACTAAAATCAAAAGAAAAGTTTCTCTCTCAGCAAATTTATGTAAGGTATGTAAGGTCGTTGTGAATCCGTAAGCTTTTTTTTTAATTTTTTTTTTAAACACTTTTGTAGTGTTATACAAAACTAAATGTTGTGACAGTTAAAAAAAGTATTTATAAAGTTATTAGTATAATGTTATAGATTTTTTAGTCTAACATACAGATACTTTCAATCTTAATAGCTAATTTAAAAATATCAAGTCAAAATAAGTTACGCACAAGCATTTATACGTCGTTGAGCAAATTTGTTTTCATTTATTACAAGTCTTTTTAATAATAATGATTAGTATTCATCTAAAAAACACTTAGAAATCTTCAAGTAACTTCGAAATGAGGTCTCCAACAGAAAGTTTTATAAATTAAAACTAATCTTGCCAATAGTTGATAACATATTCAATTTTTTTATTAGAGAAATAACCTTTTTGACAGCTAATTAGTTTTTTTAGTAAAAACTAACTTTTGTATAATCTTTAAAGTTTGTTTAAATTTCTGTTACTTTTAACTGACAGCACTATGTGTGCTTCCCAGTGACAAAATAGGCAAACAAATTTTATTTCGTCACGCTAGAGCATGTGGGCCCAAGCTATGTGTTTTACTATAAGAATTAGGTTAATTTCAACTCCTTGCTACTTACGAATCACAGAGCAGAAACACGGGAAAGTAGTTTTGTCTTAACAAAACTTTGGCTTCATTTACTTATTTACCAATTAATTAAAAAATGCCAATTTTTTATTAGATCTTCGCTTGTATCGTTTCTTCTATTGCCTTTAGATGAATTTTTTACCAACAATCTCTTTGTCATAAGATTTTCTATACAAAAGACTTTTTTTTAGACGCATTATTTATTGTTAAATACACAATAAGGGCGGAAAAGTGCAAAAGGAAAATGCTTGTACCAAAAAACATTCCATTTTTACACAACAAAAAGCTATTCATAAAATTTTAAAATAATGGTTAATTTTTCGTTAACTAATTTTCTAGGGTTTAACTTTAGAGCATTATTACAAGCGTTATAAATGGTTTTTTAACAATTGGCTTTTGTTAAATCATTGTATTTAACCTTATTAACAACCATAAAAATTGATTTTTTTTATTTTTAACGTTTTTTCTTAAGAAACTAAGTATTGTAACTTAAACAATTGCAAATATCTCTGTACATTCTGCATTTTTTTTTTTAACAAATGGTATTGTGATATTCTTAAAACGCAAATTTGAAAGAAAAGAATACCCTAGCTTACTGTGATCTTACCTGCATCATACTGCAAGAGCAATTTATAAATTTCAATTCAAAGGACGCTAAACAAAAATTGAAATTGTTGCGTTGCAACAAATGGTAGCAGCTTTGTACTCTTATCTGTACAGGGTGGTCGACTGGTTGCCGTGCATATGGGCAAAACACAAGCTGTGGGTGGCATTTAAATTAACATAAGTTGCTGTACATCATTAAACAGTTAAAAATATAGTATTATACATTCAATATGCTAAATCATAAAATTAAATACAAAAAAGAATTACAAAAAAAATTAAGTAGGTGTCTTGGGACTTATGGTAGAAGTAAGACTTGCAACTTATATGTTCTTTAACTCGGTATAACAAAAATTTAGAAAATCAGATTACACCTAATTTTAATAGGTCTTTAAGAATCCGATAGAAAAATAGTGAAATTTATACTATTCTTATGTATAGATTTGAGCACACGTGGTCCTAGAATACATATACAACAATATATTACTTAGTATCACGTGATCTACGCATTTTATGTTAATCATTATTTGCTGTTATATATCTATTATTATTTGTACAAATAATTGGTCATGTTATATAAAAAGAATCAAGAATTTGCTCCATACTACCTCACAAAAAGTACTTTTGTCTAGTTACGTGAGACAAAAATTCCTTTTGTTAAAAATTACTATTTTTGAATTTTAAATGACACAATGTATGTACAATTTTTTTTTTTGGATCATTGTATTAAACAAATAACATTTTTTTTTAATTTTGGCTACCATAAAAGTGAGATAATCCACTCTATCTGTTTGAGTTTCAGTAAAACAATAAACATAAAATTTTTTTCTATTGCAAAGATGGTTTTTTCATTTAATTTGTTTTCTATAATTATTTATTACTTAATATTTAAATTTTCCAGTGTTTATAACTAATTTTTGCTATTCTGAACTCTATTAATAAGACTATAGATTTTAATGAAGTGAGNTAACTCAATTAAAGATAATCACACAAAATTGATGTTAACTTCAAAAATATTATTGAAAGTCACTTAAAGATATTATTATACAGGCAGAATCAGAAGCGAAGATAAACTTTATCACAAAAACTAATTCATTGCAAATAAACATATGTGTGAAAAGGAAAAATTTGGAAAAAGGAGTAAAAATAATCAACGTGCTATGTATAAAGCAATACGCACAACAATTTAACTGTCGCAAAGCTCGTGTAAGGTAACTAAAAGCTTTGCACAGGTACCTTTTAAACTTTTCAGTAACATAACAAATAGAAAGCATCTCGAAAGAAATTATTTCAGCGAATTGTAACACACCATCGTCTACGTATGGAAAACACGAGCTCGTAAGACAATAGAGATTTCGAATAAATAAATTCAGTCTTCTAAGCAAAAAATGTTAAGAGAAAATACAAACGTCAAATAAAACTAGATATTGTAGAAGTCAATATAAATTAAAGTAGATTCTAGGGTCCTCAGCTAGCATAGGCAAACTTGGCAGTAAAAGCAGGCAAAAACAAAGACTCAA